ACACAATTTAATACTAAATATACCGATAATTATAAATTACTAATTATAACTTTAATTTTATATACATATATATATAACCTTATTTAAATGAGGGTTCATGGCAATAGATAAGGGGACCTGAAGCTCACCATATACCTAACTCTCAAAGTTAAATTGCAAGCTATTTAAAATTTTTTGAATTTTTAAATTAAAAAATTGAAATTTCACCATTAAAAAACATGTTTTCTACAGTGAAAGTCTCAAATTCAAATTCTAAGATGATGAAGTGATATTCAGAGAATGGAAGAGGGTTATCTCGTATATATTATGTAGCCCAATATCATAGGACAATGTATTTCAATGAAATATATCGATAAAAAGATATTTTATTGGTTAGAATTTAAAATTTCATCGCATGAAATGGGAGGACATTGTCTCTTTCTACATAACTGAAATCGAATAAATTTCGCATGTTAAAAAAAATACCAAAAGGAAAGCAGTATTGATTTTATATTTCCTCCTTTCCAACCTGTAGGCACCAGAATCACACCCCGACTAGTTCCTTATATGGCAAAAGATATATCAGATGCTATCAAAGAAAAGCTTGGAGTATATCCTCAAATTGCCTGTAACGAAGTGGGCGGAACAGTCCAACTGACGGAGGTCCGGTTTTGCTTTAAAAGGGGCAAGGAAAACTCACCATCCATCCTTCAAGACTGCCCCATAAGATATGCTTATAAATGTTCAGATGACAGGGACGAAATCATGTTCGTTCCTCATCTAATTGGCTAAATGAGAAGTAGAACTAGCTAGTTCCCAAGCTAGTGGGGATGTTGTGAAGTAGTAAATAAGAATAAATAAACCTGGAAAGCTATGCACGTAAATTGCTTTCTAGCAATGATTTCGTAAACTCTGTCACACCCTTAAAAGCTATCTAATTGGCTTGACTACCACTGGTGCTTGGCAGTACGAATCACTTTACCAGTATTTCAAATGCACTTTAATGAAATTTCGTGTGTTTAATGTTGGATCTTATTCAACTCTACAAGTATTTGACAACGTAAACTTGTTGGATGAGAAATACATCTAAAAAAAAAAGATTATATGAAACGTTATTGCACTTCAAGAAAACACATAATCATAATTTTAAACATGTCAGAATTTGTGTTATCGGAAATGAAAAATGAATAAGTCCAGTGAAGATCATAAATGGCAGAAGGAACTAAAGCTTGAAGAAGCAAAGATTGAGGTTGAAAAAGAACAGAGGCTATAAGCAGGACAGATGGTGCCTTATACGCACCGTTTCACTAAACACAGCAATAAGACAGCATGTGGGTGTGAAACACACCGTTTTGATTAATAAGCCTGCTTAAAAGTTACTTAATTTAGTTACACCTTATTAGTTTAGAATTAAACTTGTTTTCCTCTTTAGTTTTCCACTTATAATCGCTATATATATATTCTAACACTAGTACTGCACCCTATATTTGGGTTTTCAATGAGAATTTTGTACTCATTCTCTCATTAGTATTGTGCTGCCTTTCTTCTTTATACCATAGTTTTCATAGTATTAGAGCCATTCAATTCAATGGCACAGTGAAGTATCAGCATCATTTTCTTACTGAGGGATGAAATCGAGTTTGTTACCTCTGTACTACTTAGTAAGTTCATCTTAAATCTATCAGTACTTGTTTCTTTTCATCTTCATCATTGTATTTCCTTGTTACCTAAGCTATGGCTGAATCAGTTGAGTCAAGACCTTCACAAGCCGCTACACAGACCACACTGTTCAGGTCAATCAAATCCCACCTATAGCTGATCCCCAATCACCTTATTATCTACACCACACAGATCATCCTAATTCAATATCCATTAACCCTAAACTCACCACGAATAATTATGTAGCTTGGAGTATATTATTTTTACTTGCTTTTCTATTAGGAACAAACTTGGTTTCATCAATGGAACAATAACTAAACCTGAGATTGGAGATCATTTTTTTTGTCCTAGACACGCTACAATAATCGTATTGTGGCGTGGTTGCTTGACTCTGTTTCACAACCAATAAAATCAACAATGTTTTATATCGACTCTGCTTATAATATGTGGAACACTCTTAAATAGAATTTTGCTCAACTTGATGATACTAGAGTATGTAATCTGCAATACGCTCAAAGAATCAGAATAGTTGATGCTTATTTCATAGAATTAAAAGGGATTTGGAAAGAGATAAGGAATTATAGACCATTACTTCATTGTGAGTGTGGAAAAGCAAGCTCAACATTTTTGTCTCGGAGCCAATTTTACTTTTTTTTTTCTGTAAGGTAAAATTTTCATTGCAATAACCAAGGAACAAGAATTTCCTTGTACTTACAACCAAAGTAAGCAATTAGGAAGAGTAAATTATGTAAACAAATACAAATCCTAGGAGCATCAAAGGTATCTTTTCATTTGTGCCTTGAATTCATTGCATAGTACTTAAAACAAAGTTTGTAAACTATTTAAAAGAAATCGAATAAACTTTTATTCTTTTATTACGTTTTAACAAACTTTTGTGTTTTTTGTCAAGCCAAAGAAGTTTTTATGACTATTAATTAACTAATTATTATTAATTAAAATATTACTTGTCATTTTACGTCTTTGTGATGGTTATGTGGTATATTAACATGTCATCATGGATGATGATGTGGTATGATAATTGTGTCTGATTTTGAATACCTAAGTGGAGTTGACCATCAATTTATGTTTTAGAGTAAACTATACCTATGATCACTCAAATTTATAAAAAAAATTTATTTTCATTGCTGACATTTAGAAATTTGATTAATACTAATGTTTTTAAAATTTAACATTCCTTGATCAATCCCTAACGGGATTCTATCAAGAATTTTAGAATTTCAGTTTCCTAATTTCCTCACCCACCCTGACCAAAGAACCAATGCAACCTGCCACATTATGGAAAGGCTCTTTGTTCCATTAAGCCTACCTGGCATTCTACAAAGCTGAATTCCATCAAGCCCTTTTCGTTTTGAGTGTTGTTTCTGGTGAGTTATGTTTTTTTCTTTCAGTTCAAAATTTGGATTGTGATTTATTAATAAAATGGACTTATTCAAGCAAAAAAAAGTATTATTTTTTTTTATTTTCCTAAGCATAACATTAAAAGTTATCATTAAAATCCTTGACAGTCAACATCCACATTTCCTCTTTTGCACTTTGAAAAAAAAACAAAAACAAAAACAAAAACTATCAATGGCCTTAACTACAATGTGAAAACTGAGTGAATGAATCAAATAACGATAAGGTTAAGGAAAATTAATTCTGATGGAGATATCTATCTAACTTAGCCAAAATTTTTTTTTCTTTTTTATCCCTTGTCTTGAGAGTACAAAAAGAAAACTTATAAAGGACAATTAATTAGATACCTCACTCCTCTGTGTGTGTGTGTATATATATATATATATATATATTGTCTGCTTTATCGGTGAATTCTACAATAAGGTCGTGAAATTTGATTATATTATAAGGTTATTGCATAATGACTTTTTAGATTTATAAAATTCAATTTCAACCGTTGATAACAACGCAAAATTAAAATAAGTAAACAGTTGTGAATTCTATTATTTGACTTTACAATAAAGTCAGCCATACTGTTCTCTTTAACATCATTTATTCTGTTTAAATTCGTGGGGATATTGATGATCAAGTGCATTTTTCATAATTTCACGTGTTATATATTAATAACAGAAACTAAAGAAATTTACAATTTTTTTTAAAGACCCAAACCATGAGTCTTGAACTACAGGATAAGAATTTTTTTTTTCAATATTTTATAAATTAACCTTATTTCGTCCATTTTAAAATTTATGATCATATCCAATTTTGAATACTTAATTTAAAGGACTTGAGCATCTATTTATTTTTACGAGTAAACTATAACGAAGTATGGTCACTCAAATTTATAAAAGAAATATTATTTTCATTGCCATCATTTTAGAAATTAAGTTTTGATAAATATCAATGTTTTTAAAATTTAACATTTCTCGATCAATGTCATTTAATGACTAACAGAATTCTATCAAGAATTTACATAGCAAGGTCACTGTTGCAGCAGCAGCAAATAAATGCTTCATTTGCATTGTTATGGTAGCCAATATAATTAAGAAATATGCTAATAATTAAGCTTGCCACTCAATTTCTTTTACATTAATTCAATGTAGACGAGGCTTTCTAGCATAGGAACTCTGAATTTGTCTGGCTGCGGCCAAAAAACGAAAAGGACCCCTTTGTAACCCCATAAGTAGAATCAACATCATCCATAATTTTTGTGAGAAATATGAAAACTGAGAAGCATAGGGAAGGCAGATATTTGCTGTGATGAGACAATCATGTCATTCGTATTAGAACTCTACTACTCTACTCGAACACTCATCGTCCACATTTCCTTTTTTATACGCCTCTCAGCTACAACGTGAAAAACGAAGTAGCAATACAGCCAACAAAAAATCCAATAGCGATAATTAAGGCGGATATTTTAACATCATTTGGGCTGATATGTATAGAGATAGGGTCAGGCCTTTATTTTGTGTCTCGACATTTTTATGTACAGGTCTGATGCTTGCGGACATTATGCTTACAACTTGACGCATAAAGACATCCTATTTGGTCATGAAAACCAAAAGGACCACTTTGTAACTTATCCTTGTGGTATGTAGAATCAACAGCATCCGTAATTTTTGGTGAAATTGTGGAAATTGTCAGAGATATTAGATGACATGGCCATTTGGATCGAATGCTATAGTGTATCTAGAGAAAACGGGTAAGCCACGTAACAAATCAGTGATTTCATAGATTGCATGAATATGGTGTGTTGAAACCAATAAATTTGAGGCATTGCATGTAACATCATATTATTAAATGTATTGTGTTCAAAATGTTATGAAATTTAGAAATAGCATGTAACAAAAATTGGATTAAAGGTATGACGTGTAACAATATAGAAATTAGTCAGAGCGTGCAACAACATAGAAATTATAAAGTGCGCATAACATAGTAAAGATTATATATGGCGTGTAACAAAAGAAATATGCTTGTAAATGTGGTGGAGCTTCTTTGGTTAATTGCTCAATGCATGTAGCTTACATGTACATGACCGTACTCTGATAAAATGGATTTCAGAGAGTACGAGAATGTTTAGGTGAAATAAATGGAGGTACCGATCGTGGTGTGTCCAATGGAGGAAGAGGTGAAAGTAGACATCCTTGAGGCATTGCGTGTAATAGCTTATTATTTAATGTATTACGTTTAGAATGGTATGAAATTTAGAAATAAAATATAACAAAAATTGGATTAAAGGTATGGAGTGTAACAAAATAGAAATTAGTCAGGGCGTGTAACAAAATAGAAATTAGTCAAGGTGTGAAACGAAATATAAATTATAAAATGTGTATAACAAAATAGAAATTATATAAAGGGAGTAACAAAAGAAATATGTTTGTAAATGTCATGGAGCTTCTCTGGTTAACTGTTTAGTGCGTTTAGCTTACATGTGCAAGACAATATTCTTATGTAAATGGATTTCGAATAGCACAAGAATGTTGAGGTGAAATAAATAGAGGTACCAATCATGATGAGTCCAATGGAGGAAGAGGTGAAAGCAAATATCCCTGTTGTTAGGGTGAGACCAAAGAAGGAGGAGGAAAAAAGAGGAACCAGATATCCTTAAGGGTTTATTATGAGCTAGTCTCCCAAACAACATCATGCTGCTTAGAATCAATGAACCAGTGCAATGGAGAATCAGCACATAGTATCTAAGAGAAATAATCCAAAATGAAATGAAAGTCTTACTGATTAATCTTCATGCCTCCTATTGACAGTTGAAGATTAACTGAACTTAGTGATTATGCGGGCTGTGTAGCAACTTCGTTATGACGCATGGCATGTTTCAGTTGAATATTATTAGGTTGGCATGTAGTAAGTCAGAATATGCCTACCTGGCTTGTAATAAGTTGGACAATCATGTAATAAAATT